GTCTTGCAAGCCTTGTTGTAGTTGTAAATGTTGCAGTAAAATATTAGCTATATTTGTCATCACATGAATTTTGTGAGTGGTGGTAGGAGGTTAAGGGGTTCTCATAGTTCAGTTAGAGGTTTCGCAGTGAAGACGTGTTGACTTGCAGCTCTGAGATCATAAGATGCTCCTCATGCGTCAGGACTCTCTGATGTCCCGGGGCCTGCAGCACATATAATGGCTTTTATCAGCAACAGAATACACTTCTGTCTGTGTGAAGTTTAAGGCGATGGCTTGATAATATCATCAGGTAGACACTCGTGAGCTGCAGCACAGACTCTGAGGTTTGATGAACAAAATGTAAAGCTTTGAACTGATAAATGTATGTGCTTCACATTTTTAGGGATGATCATGATCAGATGTTGTTCTGCTGCTGCTAACCCTTTAGTATTCTTAACTTAAGTGATCCCCAGTGGTCAAAATAGAAAGAAAAAGAGGAACTAGTTTTAAAAATAAAAATAAAGTGCTATATTCTGTTGTATTAATATTAATTCTTTAATATTTTGTATTTTAAAGGGATTTCATAGACAATATTCACCTCATAATTTTGCAACATTTATTTCTATATAAAATACAAATATAAGAAAATATATTTTATACAATTTTCAATTAATACAGTGTTTAATTAATAAATTGCAAAGTCAAAATGTATACATAGAGCTGTGTAGTATGATGTGCTGTGAGAGTGTTTTCAGATATAATTACATTTATTATGTTTTTTTTATTTGAATATGTATTTAGACATTCCCATTTATTTCCAATGGCGGTATGATTTTTGACCATGAAGATGGTCTTTTTAAAAAAATATATATATTTAGCCTTTTCTAATCGTGTCCACAATAATTTTTCATTTTCCACAATCAAGCGTTTTAACCATTCTGATCTTTTTTTTTTTTTTTTTTTGGTCAAAATGGAAGACCACCATTTTGACCAAAAATAAAAAAGACCACATTTTGACCAAAAAAAAGGACTGCATTACTCAAGTGTTTCAAATGCCTTATATTGTAATTAAAAATGGTATATATTGTGTGTGTGTGTGTATACTAGTGATGCTCGGATGAGCTTACGTCACCCGAATCTGCAGCTTCAAATAAATTATCCACCCGCCAACCGCCCGCACCTGTATTTTTGTCTGATTTAGATAACCGCACCCGATCATCACATTAGGGTTCGTACGGTCATAAAAAAACCTGGAAAAGTCATTGAACAGTAATTTCCAGGCCTAGAAAGTTTTGTAAAAATAAATAAACTCAAAAAGTTTTTTGAAAAGTCATGAAAATCTATTTCACAATTCTCTGTATAATAGAATTCTGTTTAATCCGATACTGAATTTCGTTGCGGGATTGCGCATACATCGCATTACTCATTCCCACAGCTTTCGACTTTAAAATGAGGGAAATTACTGCAAAACCTTTATTCAATATAGCGTGTAGGTTAGCTGAGTAAATAAATCCACACAAACCGTCAGATGAAAACGGCGTATGTGATTCAGCTGTACCGCGTCGTCTCTCTTTGACTTTCGCTTCACATCGACGCGTCTAGAGCTGCTGCACGCTGCGATAGAAGACTTTAGCTCGCGTTTCGGGACAGTTGACAGAATTGTCAGTTGCCTAATCGGTCATTGTTGCATCGTCACAAAAATGTATTATTTTCACGTCTTTTTAAGCCATTCGGTACTCGCGCTCTCTAGAGGCGCGTGTGCTTAGTCACATCCAAAGCGCGTTCTGCTTGTACCAGATTGAGAAAGTACTGTCGGTTTTGTCTTAAGTTAATGTAAACAGTTGCAAAATAAAACGCATGAGTATCAGTATTGGATCCGTGAAATAGGTCTTGTGATAGCAGCCTAATAAAGCTGTGCCGTCTTTTATTAATGTTAATCAAACAACAAAACGCACTGCTCTTGACTAAATGTTTTGTTGAATAACTTTTAATGTTAATTTACAGTTTATTCAATTTCTGTAGCCTATTTAAAACACGTTCATAGTTTAGAAAATGTAGTTAATACTTGCATCATTAATGATTTAATTTACCCACCTGCAAATAATCAGAATGCATTTTTTTTATTACCCGATCCGCAGATTATCCGCAGCGCCCGCGGATAAAACCGCCATCCGCGCATCACTAGTGTATATACACACACACACACACACACACACACATAACATTTTTAATTACTATATATATATATATACACACACAGTATAAGCCAACTTGAATACTTGATGCATAATAAAGTCTTTTCAGTCACTTGTTTTCCAGAAAAAAATGCAGTAATTTGTAATATTTTAGCCTATTTTTTATTTATATTTTTAGGTGATTTTCAGTTACTTAGGTTATTATAAATATGCCATATTTGCATGCATGAGTTTAGAATGTCATGTGGAGGATATTAATTGTCAAAAATAAAATAATAATTTTCTATATATTTTTAGTGCACCTTTAATGTTCTGCCCGTGGACTTGCACCCCCATCAACCCACACGGCAAACACAAACAATGGCGGTTAGCACAGTTATTAGTGTTGTGGTCCATTGCACCGTGTTGCTGCAGGGCTTGGGTGACATCTAACAATAAAGGTGAGGACATGCTGTGTGTTTGGAGTCTGGAAGGAGGGGAAATCCTTTCAGCTGCCCTCGTACACACAGGCCTCGCCCATCACTGGCGTGTTCCTCTTTGGCATATGAAAGAGTGCAATAGGAATGAGTAAGCCGGGCAGCCGTCCGCTCTGAGTCACTGGCTCTCTGATCAGATGTGCTGAAACTTTCCAGCAGCTGTTGGTCCTCTAGACTCCAGCCACTGCTGGGATTTCAGCTTTGTGTCTCTGCTAGCAGCAGAAAGAGTTGATTATAGAAATGACCCCTACTTCACATCCCACTCGGATGCCACTGACTGCTGAGTTGACCTTGTGTTTTCACTTGACTCTTATGTGCTCCAGAGGCCTGACCCTGCTGTTTGTGCATGATCGTCTCATCCCATGTGAGCTATGCTTGTGTGGCTGTCCAAAAACACTGAATAAGTGGCTGAAATGTTTGAAAATCTTTTTTTTTTTTTTTATCATGCATATTAGAGTTTAGCAAGTCAAATTTTTATTTCTTAAATGCACATAAAAAAAAAATAAAACGCATGAGTATCAGTATTGGATCCGTGAAATAGGTCTTGTGATAGCAGCCTAATAAAGCTGTGCCGTCTTTTATTAATGTTAATCAAACAACAAAACGTACTGCTCTTGACTAAATGTTTTGTTGAATAACTTTTAATGTTAATTTACAGTTTATTCAATTTCTGTAGCCTATTTAAAACACGTTCATAGTTTAGAAAATGTAGTTAATACTTGCATCATTAATGATTTAATTTACCCACCTGCAAATAATCAGAATGCATTTTTTTTATTACCCGATCCGCGGATTATCCGCAGCGCCCGCGGATATAACCGCCATCCGCGCATCACTAGTGTATATACACACACACACACACAATATATAACATAACATTTTTAATTACTATATATATATATATACACACACAGTATAAGCCAACTTGAATACTTGATGCATAATAAAGTCTTTTCAGTCACTTGTTTTCCAGAAAAAAATGCAGTAATTTGTAATATTTTAGCCTATTTTTTATTTATATTTTTAGGTGATTTTCAGTTACTTAGGTTATTATAAATATGCCATATTTGCATGCATGAGTTTAGAATGTCATGTGGAGGATATTAATTGTCAAAAATAAAATAATAATTTTCTATATATTTTTAGTGCACCTTTAATGTTCTGCCCGTGGACTTGCACCCCCATCAACCCACACGGCAAACACAAACAATGGCGGTTAGCACAGTTATTAGTGTTGTGGTCCATTGCACCGTGTTGCTGCAGGGCTTGGGTGACATCTAACAATAAAGGTGAGGACATGCTGTGTGTTTGGAGTCTGGAAGGAGGGGAAATCCTTTCAGCTGCCCTCGTACACACAGGCCTCGCCCATCACTGGCGTGTTCCTCTTTGGCATATGAAAGAGTGCAATAGGAATGAGTAAGCCGGGCAGCCGTCCGCTCTGAGTCACTGGCTCTCTGATCAGATGTGCTGAAACTTTCCAGCAGCTGTTGGTCCTCTAGACTCCAGCCACTGCTGGGATTTCAGCTTTGTGTCTCTGCTAGCAGCAGAAAGAGTTGATTATAGAAATGACCCCTACTTCACATCCCACTCGGATGCCACTGACTGCTGAGTTGACCTTGTGTTTTCACTTGACTCTTATGTGCTCCAGAGGCCTGACCCTGCTGTTTGTGCATGATCGTCTCATCCCATGTGAGCTATGCTTGTGTGGCTGTCCAAAAACACTGAATAAGTGGCTGAAATGTTTGAAAATCTTTTTTTTTTTTTTTATCATGCATATTAGAGTTTAGCAAGTCAAATTTTTATTTCTTAAATGCACATAAAAAATGATTTACAAAGAAACAAAAAAAACCCCACTTATTTTTATTTTTTTATTCATCAAGGATGCAATAAATTGCTCAAAAGTGACAGTAAATACATTTATAATGCTACAAAACATTTCTATTCCAAATAAATGCTGTTCTTTTGAACTTTCTCTTCATTAAAGAATCCTGAAAAATAAAATGTATCACGGTTTCCACAAATATATGAAGCAGCACAACTGTTTTCACCATTGATGATAATCAGAAATGTTTCTTGAGCAGCAAATCAGTATATTAGAATGATTTCTGAAGAATCATGCGACACTGAAGACTGGAGTAATGATGCTGAAAATTCAGCTAGGATCACAGCAATAAATGACATTTTACCGCATATTTACATAGAAAACAGTTCTTTTAAATTGTAATAATATTTCAAAATATTTTTTCTGTATTTTGCCAAGTAAATGCAGCCTTGTTGAGCTCAAGTAGACTTATTTCAAAACGTTAGGAACAATATCTCAGTGTGAAAAATCTCTCTCCGTCTCCTCTAGAGATATATTGAGTATGAGGATTCTCAAGAGCAGGAAAAGAAAGATCTACAAAGCCGTGTGCAGATGCTGGAGGCTCAAACCAGACAGATGGAGCTCAAGACCAAGAACTGTGCAGACCAGAGTAAGTTATCTGCGTTACCTCACCTCAGCTCTTCAGGGCCAGATGATGTTCAATATACACTAATCAGTCAAATAATTGCTTGTATTATTAAAAAGGTTCTTTGAATGTGTCCTTATGGTGTTTTAATTAAACATTAAACATTTTTAAAAGAGACTTGTAAATAAAAAAGACTGTTTTACAAGAAAATACGATTTCAGTTTTTCGACTTTAAAAGTTCAGTGTGTTACTTGCTGATTCTTTGTAATTATTTCTGAGTGCAAATTCTCTGTGTAAAATAATTTATTTATTATCTGTATTATATTGGTGTATATCCATGAAAATTATTGTAGATGGTTAATTTAAATTTGAATATCTAATTTCTCCATGTTCGTGTTGTTAAAAAACGTTGTGTAAAATAGTGTTGGATAAAAATATTAAATAAAAGTTTGTAGCCAGTAAGATTTTTTTTAATTTTTTTTTTTTTAAAGTCTCTTCTGTTCATCAAGGCTGTATTTATTTAATTAATTAAAAAAAAGTAAAAATTGTGAAATCTTATTACAATTTAAATTAAATGTTTTCTTTGTCAATATATAGATTTAAATTTGAATATCTAATTTCTCCATGTTCGTGTTGTTAAAAAACGTTGTGTAAAATAGTGTTGGGCGATATGCTCAATTTTCATATTGTCATATCGTCAGCCTGTGAGCGCCAATACACTATATTATTGTACAAATTTATTTAATTATTTATTTACTTAATTTTATTTCCGGAAATAGAACCAACTCCAGCGTAAGGCTAAAAACAGCCTAATTTGTATTTAACATGAAAATCATAATGTATCATACTAGTCATAAGGCTTACATTTCCCCAGTTGTTCAAAAAGCAGCTACAGAAAATGAGCAAAGAACATTTACATTACCAAAGCACACCGTCACCGAGTCTAGCGCGAGTATATGCACTTTAAAAAACACTCCCTTTATAATCAGTGAAGCCGTCTACACTGTATGATGAATAAATATCTTATACTTACATCGCATGTACATCTAAACTTTGTTGTTTATGATGAGAGAATTCATGAGAGAGCTGAATTCAGTCAGCGTGCACTGAACCGCAAAACACAGCTGTTTCTAATGCATCCTTGATCAATTAAAATATTAAGTTCCTTAAAAAAAAACAATGACCCAAACAAAGAAGTCCATTCACATCTATTTGTATAAATGTGTAACTACATAAAAACATGCAAGTACAAAAGTGTTGTCATTTTGGTAACCACTGAACCGCAAAACACAGCTGTTTCAGCGATGACTCATCTGAATGCCTCTGATTGGCCATTGCATTCATAAACTCCACATAATCCTGTGTGATTGGTTATAAAGCGCAACACTGTAAAAACGCGGAAAAAGAAATGCAATGGAACAAATAGCCTAAGCCCTAATATTAATGAGATATTAATAAAATAGTATTAATATATTGATAACAATTTGTTAATTTAAATGCTCTGAATTCATCCTGCAGCAGAACTGATGCATCTACATTTTTATGCTTTCTGTATTAAGATATATATATATATACTGAATATCCTCAAAGACAGTAAAGAATATTGAGATGTCATTTTATTTTAGCTGTCTTGCAGAGTGCTGTTCTCTAGATAAGTCTTCATAAATCAGATGGAAAATGCTCCCTATTTTTGGTTATGGTGTTCAGCAGGTGAACTCTTATGTTTGAAGCGAGACAAAGCTTTCATTCTCTGATCACCTGATCGCACTCGGTCTGAGACTCACACGCAGTGTTGGGCTGTGAATGGGCTGAGCTGGATTACAGCTTAAGGGCCGCTGAACTCGCCCACATGATGGCTGGATGACCGTGTTTACTGCCAGGCTCAGCTCCAGGTGGGCGGCACGTTACGTAAACATCTACTGAATGCCATCGGTGTCCTGAATGAGGATTAAAAACGTGTTCCCTGTATTTCTGACATGAAGTGATTCAATCTATTGTGTTTGTGAAAGAACTTCCCATTTTGTGGTTAATGCAAACGCTTTTGTATTTCCCTACTGTAAGCATACACTTGTTAAGTTGTCAGTGAGTCAAAGGATTTTACAGTTTGATGTATTGGAGAAATGTGTGATGATGAACAGCTGTCATGGACACACACACTTGCATTCACTCACTACGTTCCCGTATTCTCATAGCTTACTTTTTATATGCCTAGATGTATAGCAAATCAACCTTATGAAGCCTTCATATTTTCTAAATGGCAGTTTTGAATTTTGAATCTTTTTTTCCCAGTCACATGAACAATAATTATGACCAATCTGATTTTGTTGCCATGTAGATTTGAAAAAAATTATGCAAAAAAAAGTAGATGCATTAGTCAAGGCAGGAAGTTAGGAAGAATGATATTTAATCATTTTTGTTTGCATGCAGCTACAATACAGTTCAAACGTTTGTATTCAGTAAGACTGCTGCTTTACAAAAGTACTTTTGTTCATCAAGGACACATTAAATTGTTCAGAAGTGTCAGTAAAGACATTTATAATGTTACAAAAGAGTTCGGTTTCAAATAAATGCTGTCACTTTCTATTCATCAAAGAATCCTGAAAAATAAAATGCATCAGTTTCCACAAAAATATTCACCAGCACAATGGTTTTCAACATTGATAATAATAAAACTCAGCATATTAGAATGATTTCTGAAGGATCATGTGTCACACTGAAGACTGAATGTGAAATTTAACTTTGCATCACCGGAATAAATTGCATTTGAAGGTATTTTCACATTTGAAAATTACATTTGAAGGTAGTGATATTTTACAATATTACTGATTATACTGTGTTTTTGATCAAATAAATGCAGCCTTGGTGAGCAGAAGAGACTTCTTTCAAAAACAAATAAATCTTAATGAACCAATACATTTGAGCGGTAGTGTATAGAACAAGAAATTGGAATAAACATTTTCTTTTTCTAAAACGTTTTAATACTAGAAATATGCTGAGTGATGACATGTGAACACATTTGAATCAGAGTTCTGAATCTATTCACTGATAAACATTACAAACTCTTTCATGGAAACTAGTCTTGCCTAGTAAAGTTTACATCAGAGATGAGGATCCTGAAACTAGTGTAAAGACAGCTTTGAGGAAGCTTGATAGTCATCAATCATCATATTCTCAAAGTCGCCTTAATTTATTTGATCTCGCCAGTAATGCATCTCGAATATTTGATATATCACTTTATCTCGGTATTTACATACATTTATTAGCAGTAAAAGCAAACATATGATATAATGAAGGCTTATTCTGAAGTAAGGAGTGACAGGGTTCGGCTCTGATTGAGGATGATGATTATACACCACAGGAACTTCTGCTCTCCCTCCGTCATCCTCCTTCCTTTAATTCACAGTCATCAGATCACATGGGGTTTTTCTCAGTTTCACACCACATGCTCAACTATGAGACACGTTCCTTATCTGACCTCCTCTGAGATGACCGCTTTTACAAAAGATTTAGAAGATGGATTTTTAGTGTATGAAAGCCTGGATCAGTTTTATTTCTGTTGCTCTACTGACCCCTTCTGGCTGCGTGTTATTACTACAGCATATGACCTCTTTCCCAGGAGGCTGTTTGTTCAGAAAGCCTTTCTCTTTGAAGCTGAATAACAGTAGACCTGTGTTAATGTTTAAACAAATAAATATCTACATAAAGATGCTGTAATTTCACTCCTCTGTTTTTAGTTGGAAGATTAGAGGAGCGTGAAGCTGAGCTGAAGAAAGAGTACAATGCCCTCCATCAGAGACACACAGAGGTAAGAATTCCTTCACATTTGCTTATGTATTTCAATAATTGCATAAGCAATTTGTTACAAAGCCAACAACATTTGTTGTATGCAATGCCATGTGTATAAAAAAAGCTCGATTAGGAGACAAGCAGAGCAAAGGAGAAATGCAGAGAAGAGAAATCTGATTTTTAAAAAAATTTTTATTCAAGTGCAAAGGTTGTGGACTGTTTAAATGCTGAAAGTTTTGTCTTCTGCTTCTTGGCCCTGTTTACACATGCTATTAAGATGCGTTTTCCTCGATCTGATCACAAGTGGACAACGTTAAATACAGGTGTGAACTAGGGCTGTCAAAATGGCTGAAAAACTAAATTCGAATTCTGTACTTAAATATGATCAAAATTCTAATTATATTTGAATTTAAAATGCATAATTTCAGTTAGGGTGAAGAAAAGTTTTGGCTTCTCTTCTGAGGCCACAAGAGGGTGCAGCGCACGTTTATTCAAAGCATAAGATAACATGACTATCTGTGAAAAAAAAAAAAGTTTATAAACCAATTATAATTAAGTTGCTTAAACAACTATAAACAAAACAGCATCATGTTTGTATGCATAGTTTAATACAAAGGGCGGAAAGCCAACCACACGGAGTAGATTTTTCATTTAAAAACATGAGATGCAGTGGGATGGGATAGGATTTGCTGATAGGTGACTAATGTGTTTTTTTTTTTGTTTTTTTTTCTCTCCCTCTCTAATCTAATTATTTTATTCATGCAGTAAACATTTAAAAATAGTTTTGGGGAAAAAAAGTAAAAACTGTGTTCAGCTCATCAGTAAATTATGCGAGCTTATTTCGCAATATTAGATCGAAAGATCAGAAAAGCCCCTCCCATCAAAAGAAATCATGACAGAAGTGGTCAAAAGTGGACGGAGGAGACCGATCAAAACACCAGGTGTGAAAGGGAATGTGTCTCCCTCGTCTGCTTGTGATCCATTTGACCAAAACGCATCTTAAAACCAGGTGTAAACAGGGCCCTTGAAAGTTGGTGGTTCAGCTGTTCAGGTGTAGGTTGTCACCTCGTTCCACCAGAGAGGAGCAGAAACGGTCTGGAAATCGACTTTGTCGTTGTGAAGAATCAAAGCCCTAAAAGATGCTTTTGCATGTAGTCTTTTGCTGCTGTCATCAAAGAATACTGTGTGTTTGGATTCACAGATGATCCACAGTTACATGGAGCACTTGGAACGTACCAAATACCAGCAGATTACAGGAGAGACCACAGACACGGCGAGTCAGAGCAGAATTAGGTGAGGAGGTTTCTGATCTCATTCACAAATGCTACACTATATTTCATCCACCTACACAGTTTCTAAAACCAGTTTCTGTGTGTATAGCTATAATTAATAGTTTTTGCTTTACTGTTTATGCCAGTTCCTTATAATGCGGCTGTGACTTGTACTTAAATAACCCTCGTGAAGTCTCCCACATGCATGCAAAATCTGTGAGCCTCTCCTAATGTAGGTCAGCGGTTTGTGTGTGTCTCGGCTGAGTGTGATATGGAGGGATTGAGTGAGAGAGAGAATCGTCTGGCAGATGTTAATGAAGACAGAAGCAGTGGGATGGATGGCATGGTGATTGTGTTATAGACTGACAGCATGAAAATTGAAGCATGAAAATGTGTATTTCACAGAGGCTTCACAAGCGTAACGTGACATGGTTTCTACATGGGTTTCAGTGATGCCGGCTCTAATCTGTTCATGCTTATAGATACAAACATTGTTATAATAAGGATCCCCCAAAATTGTGATCCTGTGAAGACCGTTATATTTTCACTATGTGACTGGAAAATAGTAAGTGTGATTTTAAAGACAACAATTAATTGATAAAAATATTAAATAAAAGTTTGTAGCCAGTAAGATTTTTTTTAAATGTTTTTTTTTTAAAGTCTCTTCTGTTCATCAAGGCTGTATTTATTTAATTAATTTAAAAAAAGTAAAAATTGTGAAATCTTATTACAATTTAAATTAAATGTTTTCTTTGTCAATATATAGTAAAATGTAATTTATTTCTGTGATGCGCAGCTGTATTTTCAGCATCATTACACCAGTCTTCAGTGTCACATGATCTTCAGAAATCAGTATAATATGCTGATTTGCTCCTCAAGAAACATTTCTGATTATTATCAGTGTTGAAAACTGTTGTGCTGCTTCATATTTTTGTGGAAATTGTGATGCATTTTATTTTTCAGGATTTGTTGATGAATAGAAAGGTAAAAAAAACAGCATTTATTTCAAATAGAAATCTGTTGTAAAATTATAAATGTCTTTTCTGTCACTTTTGATCAATTTAATGCATCCTTGATCAATTAAAATATTAAGTTCCTTAAAAAAAACATAATGACCCAAACAAAGAAGTCCATTCACATCTATTTGTATAAATGTGTAACTACATAAAAACATGCAAGTACAAAAGTGTTGTCATTTTGGTAACCCTTTACTTAAAGCCTTTATGTATAATGCGTTTATAAAAGTAGTTTTAATGCATTAATTATGCCTTGTTATGCACCTTATAATGCAGTATACAATCTCATAAATAATTGCAACCACAGGTAATACATTTTATAACACTAATCAATTCATTGTTACACTATGCATTTTAAATTCGGTTATAATTATTTACAAGATATAATGTATTACAATGCACATGAAATATTTTAATGCGTTATACCCTTTAATAACCCTTTATAATGCATTATATATAAAGGCTTTAAGTAAAACGTTACCCTTGTCAAAATGTTCCCTTTTTTTTTTTTTTTTTTTGGTAATCTATGACCTAGAATAATCAAAGCAAATTTTCAGACATTAGAAAGACGAGAATGAAATAGTAATTGTCAAATTAAGTAAATATAAGCTTTTTTACGCTAAAATTTTTCGGTGGACACCCAGACCGGACCACAGTTTGAAAACCCCTGTCCTAGACTGAGCCATGCTACAAATGTTGTGAGAATCATGTGTTGCTTGTGAAGGTCATGCCTGTTGGTTTATAGATGGATTTGTTCGGAGAGTCTATCTGCTGAGAGGATTATGGGATTATTTAAAAAAAAAAAACTTGATCATATCAAATCAAAGTGTTCGGAAAAATCAGCAGTATGTGGTGCAAGTCTGATACTAGTTTTATTGTACAAAGAATTATTTTTATTTCAGCATTGACTTTAAAGAATTTGTTTTATATTGAAGCCTGTTTCCGCCACTGATAAAAAAACAAAAAACAAAACAAGGCAATTCCACTTTTTTATCTTTTGAAAAGATGCCAAAATTGTGAGATAAAAAGGTGCAATTGCCTTGTTTTATATTTTATTCATAAAGTCGCAATTGTGAGATATAATTGCAAGTTTATATCTCACAATTCTGACTTTGTATTTCTCACAATTGCGAGTTTACTTCTCGCAATTCAGATTTTATTTCTTGCAATTCTGACTATACAGTATAACAAGCAATTGCGAGTTTATATCTCGCAATTATGACTTTATTTCTCATGATTGCACGTTTATCTCCCAATTCAGATTTTATTTCTCGCAATGTGACTTTATCCAGAATTCTCACTACTTTTCTTGCAATTGCGACTTTAGAATTGCGAGATGAAAAAGACTTTTAAATTTTTTTTATTCAGTGGCAGAAACGGACTTCCATATTTTTTTACTCAGTGGTGTTAAAGACAGAAAAACCTTGGAGTATTTAATATGCATAATGCCATAAAACAAGTTGCACTTTGTTATATTTTACACTGCATAAATACAGTACATGCACTTCAAAGTCAGGGATTGATTCACCTCACGCTTGTTAGCAGGTGGATTGGACTTTTGTGCTCTCTGGAGACAAGCTAGAGTATGTTTGTTGTTCTCTCTGATCTGCATATATGCATCTATTCCCACAACCAATCAGCTGTGGGATAGAAACCGGAAAACGCATTCAGAATCCGTGCATAAGAGCTGTTCATTAGGCAACAGAGGAGTGCGTGAGCAGCACACAAGAAAAGACCGCTGCTGCAAAGCTGCTCGTGCGTGCGTGCGCGGTTGCTGTTCGCCGTGTGGATGATGTCACAGCAGTGAGAGGCTGCAGAGCCGCGCTCACACACACACTCTGATCCTCGCGCTGCTGTGCCGGTGTTGATGGGATTGTTTTTGCGTTTCGGGGGGCAGCGGGCGGCCCATAGTGCGTGGAGGCAGCCATGAGTCCGGGATGCATGCTGCTGTTTGTCTTTGGCTTCGTGGGGGGAGCGGTGGTCAACTCTGCCGTTCTGGTCTCTCTCTCCGTTCTGCTGCTGGTGCATTATTCTGTCTCTAACGGCCTGCCCGCCATCACACACTCCCTGCCCCGCATCAGCAGGTACGCAGCGACAGTATGTGTGTGTGGATGATGCCTAGTTTTCTTTGTCACTGGCTGTGTCATATCCTCTTCAAGTTAAGCTTCTGTTTTCCCTGCATTTCTGTCAGTCTGTGTTTGTATTTTACTGCATTGCTTGTTCATCATGTGTTTGAGACTAGTCGAGAGAATGTAGTAAACAAGAGTGGATCAAGCATTGATGCGGCGAGAACCGGCAGAGCTGAGAGTCACACAGCACAGAGTTAATTTCTCTTGTCAATACAGTGCAGGGTTCTGTCTCTTTGCTGGTGTTCTGTCAGAGAAATGCATATCATTCTTTGTGGCTTCACTTATTCTGTGTGGCTTCACTTTGTTCTGTGCTTCCATACTTCCTTAGTACACTAGAGTTGACACACAAGTGAAACCTGCTTAGCCATATCTCTTAGAAACAAAACTAAAATAGGTCAAAATGTTCCCTTTTTTTTTTTTTTTTTTTGGTAATCTATGACCTAGAATAATCAAAGCAAATTTTCAGACATTAGAAAGACGAGAATGAAATAGTAATTGTCAAATTAAGTAAATATAAGCTTTTTTACGCTAAAATTTTTCGGTGGACACCCAGACCGGACCACAGTTTGAAAACTCCTGTCCTAGACTGAGCCATGCTACAAATGTTGTGAGAATCATGTGTTGCTTGTGAAGGTCATGCCTGTTGGTTTATAGATGGATTTGTTCGGAGAGTCTATCTGCTGAGAGGATTATGGGATTATTTAAAAAAAAAAACTTGATCATATCAAATCAAAGTGTTCGGAAAAATCAGCAGTATGTGGTGCAAGTCTGATACTAGTTTTATTGTACAAAGAATTATTTTTATTTCAGCATTGACTTTAAAGAATTTGTTTTATATTGAAGCCTGTTTCCGCCACTGATAAAAAAACAAAAAACAAAACAAGGCAATTCCACTTTTTTATCTTTTGAAAAGATGCCAAAATTGTGAGATAAAAAGGTGCAATTGCCTTGTTTTATATTTTATTCATAAAGTCGCAATTGTGAGATATAATTGCAAGTTTATATCTCACAATTCTGACTTTGACACGCAATTGCGTGTTTACATCTTGCAATTCAAATGTTATTTCTCACAATTGTGAGTTTATATCTCACAATTCTGACTTTGTATTTCTCACAATTGCGAGTTTACTTCTCGCAATTCAGATTTTATTTCTTGCAATTCTGACTATACAGTATAACAAGCAATTATCATGCATATTAGAGTTTAGCAAGTCAAATTTTTATTTCTTAAATGCACATAAAAAATGATTTACAAAGAAACAAAAAAAACCCCACTTATTTTTATTTTTTTATTCATCAAGGATGCAATAAATTGCTCAAAAGTGACAGTAAATACATTTATAATGCTACAAAACATTTCTATTCCAAATAAATGCTGTTCTTTTGAACTTTCTCTTCATTAAAGAATCCTGAAAAATAAAATGTATCACGGTTTCCACAAATATATGAAGCAGCACAACTGTTTTCACCATTGATGATAATCAGAAATGTTTCTTGAGCAGCAAATCAGTATATTAGAATGATTTCTGAAGAATCATGCGACACTGAAGACTGGAGTAATGATGCTGAAAATTCAGCTAGGATCACAGCAATAAATGACATTTTACCGCATATTTACATAGAAAACAGTTCTTTTAAATTGTAATAATATTTCAAAATATTTTTTCTGTATTTTGCCAAGTAAATGCAGCCTTGTTGAGCTCAAGTAGACTTATTTCAAAACGTTAGGAACAATATCTCAGTGTGAAAAATCTCTCTCCGTCTCCTCTAGAGATATATTGAGTATGAGGATTCTCAAGAGCAGGAAAAGAAAGATCTACAAAGCCGTGTGCAGATGCTGGAGGCTCAAACCAGACAGATGGAGCTCAAGACCAAGAACTGTGCAGACCAGAGTAAGTTATCTGCGTTAC